CTGCAGCGCCCCGAGCGGGCCCGGCTGAGCGAGAACACCCGGCTGGCCACCCGCTACGCCGTGCGCATCTTCCGGGAGTACCTGAGCGAGAAGGCGCAGAGCCCAGACTTCGAAACCATGGACAAGGGGGCGCTGTGTCGCGTGCTGCGCTCTTTTTACGCCGAGGCCCGCTCCAAGAGCGGCCAGCTCTACAGCAAGTCCTCGCTCATCAGCATCCGCAGCTCCCTCAACCGCTACCTCAACGAGCCCCCGTACTGCCGCACGCTCGACCTCACCAAGGACCCCGAGCTGCGCAGCGCCAACCTGACGCTGGCCGCGGTCATTCGCAAGCTCGAGGAGCAGGGCGCAGGACCCGTGGTGCAGAAGCAAGCCATCACGCGCGCTGACCTGCGCAAGCTCTACACCTCCAGCGTCTTCAGCACCAACACGCCCTTCGGGCTGCTCAACAAGGTCTGGTTCGAGACCTGCATGTACTTCTGCACGCGCGGCCGCGAGAACCAGCGCGAGCTGGAGGAGGACTCTTTTGGACTGGCCATGGACGAGGACGGCCGCAAGTTCGTCTACTTTAAGTCCCTTGGGCCCTACCACAAGTCGCGCTCGTCGTCGTGGAGTAAGAAGCGCGCTGAGAGCAGCGACGAGGAGAACTTGCCCCGCATGTACGAGACAGGCACCGAGTTCTGCCCCTATGCCAGTTTCGTCAAGTATTTGTCGAAGCGCAACCCCCTCTGCAAGGCGTTCTTCCAGCGGCCCCGAGACCACTGCAGCGAGGGCGATGTGACCTGGTACGAGAACAAAGCCATCGGCAAGAACTTACTGGGCACCAGGATGCAGATGCTCTCCAAGGCGGCCAAGCTTTCCAAGACGTACACCAACCACTGCATCGGCGCCGTCTCTATCGCCACACTTAACAGCATCGCGGGCATCGGCACCAAACTAGGCTCGCCCGCCCCGCAGGGCTGCTATGCCGAGGCTCTCAACGGGGCGGCCCGCCACCACTCCCACCACCCCCCTACACATCCATCCCACCACCACCGCCCCCAGCCGCCCTCGCTGGGGAACACCTACATCCTCCCCAAAGACAGCCAGATCGGGCCCGACGTGAAATCCGAGGCTGCGCCCAAGCGCGCCCTGTACGAGTCGGTGTTCGGGTCAGGGGAAATCTGCGGCCCCTCTTCCCCCAAAAGACTTTGTATCCGCCCCTCGGAGCCTGTGGATGCGGTGGTGGTGGTTTCCGTGAAACACGACCCCCTGCCTCTTCTTCCAGAAGCCAATGGGCACAGAAGCACCAATTCTCCCACAGTAGTTTCACCTGCTATTGTTTCCCCCACCCAGGTAACCAAGCTAAAAACTCTATGCATGAAATGTTTCTGTGGTATCACTTCGGGACTAACGTGTGCTAATGCAGGTCTGGGTTGGGGGGAAGTTTGAAAAAGTAGCAAATATACTGAATCAGATTCGATTTCACCCTTTGAAGCTTAACTCTTGCTTTTCGGGAAAGTTTACACCTTCCCTTAAAAGATATGAGAGGGCAAGCGCCCTAACAATCACTGCTGCGCAGTGACTCTAATCCTTCAAAGTTCGGAGAACAAAAGGGTTAGCTCAAGCCCTCGCAGCCTCGCTCTTTGAATGCATGAGTTTTATAAGGCAGAGTGCAGTAATACCGTACATATAAAGGAAGCATTTACTTCAAATGTATTTGAAAAAAGTAACCATAAAATACCCTATTACATATTCACCATAACTTATGAAGTTAAAAGAACAGTTATAAATTATTAAAAAGAAAACATGCCAATCGCATTTCCTATACGGGGGCGAGTAGAGAGACTGGCAGTTGAGTGCCAGTAGCTTGCACTTGAATGAAAAGTGACGTTTGGATTATAGTTTCCATAACTAAAGTCAGTTGTTAATGTTATTACTAAATGGAAAGGTTATCTGCCCTACCAGCCAGGCCCTGAATTGGAACATGCCCTCTGGTGCCCAGCACTGAGGGCATTAAACATTGCTGTCTTTCCAAGCTCACCATCTAGGTGGCAGATAAGACTTATGAATATAGATAATTAAGACACTGCAAGGGAGTGTGACAAAAACACCGAAGTAAGAGTGGTAGCCCAGAAGCTGAGCCATCTTGGGCAAATCAATTCACCTTTCTGGACTTCAGTGTCCTCATCAAAGATAAAGTAACTTTTAACATTAAAACATTCTAAGCAGTACCAAATTCTAGGTCGAGGCTGAGGGCTTAAGTGGCTGCTTCTTGTCTTATGATTTTTCCTAGAAGAATATGTTTGTATTATTAAAATTATATCCATCTCTCAGATACTCTTCTCTAGGAGCCAGAAACCAGAGGTCTATGGGGACTGTGCCCTATTCTGCAGGCAGGAGTAGCCACTGGAGGTTTCACAAATGTGACCTCCCTGCCATCAAGCAGAAGTAGGAATTTTGACTAAGTCTGGAGGTGTAGTTTAGGCCCTTCAAGAAACAGATGTCAGGTACCTCTGTGCTTTTTCCAAAGTGGAAATTCCAGTTCTGGACAAACTGACACATTCAAACCTTTACCAGCTAATCAGCAAGCCTCAAGGCCAACTGAGAAAGGCACTGTGAACTATAATATAAACACCAAAGTTCTCTAAAATACACAAGACCTGTAGGCTATGTGTCTTTCTTTCTATACTTCTAGTGTGTGTAGTACATTTCTGACAGACCAAGAGATTGTTTTAGGGAGTTTTAAGGATGGAGAGGAGAACTTTTTCTGTTTGGAGAATTCGGGTTTGGTTTTTCTTTGAAAGCAAAATAAATGTTCACATTCTTCTGCTGAAGTCAAACCCTTAAAATGTCTGTTTAGAATAGCATCTGATTAAGAATTAAAAGCCTAAGAGTTTATTAAAATGTGTACTTTGGAATAATAATGAAACAGTTTGTCTACTGGCATGTGTCTGCTGGTTTCTTGACACCAGTGTCCTATAGAATCATGGCTTAAAATCCATAAAAGGTGGGGGGAGGGTTGTTTAATTGGTTTTGTTTTGTTCTAGGGAATACAGTCCCTCTGTCACAGTCTTGTTTTAACTGAGTGAGATAAATCAGTTCTATACACCTGAATGCCGATTCTTTTATTTTTCTTGAATTGTCAGTTAGCTCCCAAATTAAATACAGATTCAAGTGTCCACATGTTAAGTATATTATTATTAGGGCTCTTGAACATTATCTCAACTAAGTCCCCTGTAGTTAAAATACTGCAAAAAGTTGTTCTCTTTCCCCATATTTTATAGTCAGCTTTTCACATATATTAGAGTAAAAAAAATTTTTTATCAGCATTAAGAAAGTTATGGGAACTCTAGTAACTCCTGTTCAATTCACTTTATGAAGTTTGAGTATTCTAAGTATGAAACAAATGTTTAAGTAGAAAGCTGATATTAAACTTTTTCTTCCTGTATTTATTAAAATCACTGTAACAGTTAAGGTCCAGGGCATTTCCTGGGGATTAATGACTGGCTAGGGTTACTGGCACAAGGCATTACTTTAGGTTGTCCACTATAGCTGGCCATTAATCCCCAGGAAATGCCATGTGTACTTTAAGTTTCAGTTATTATTACTTAATTATAAACATAGGCTGACTAACCTTAATACTGACTGGACCTCATCAAATGATGTGGCACTGAATTCCACTGTTGACTTTATTATTCTAGACTTCTTGATAACGTAGTCACGCCTTGATGCTCTAAGTCTCTTCTAACAGTGCAAGTTTCTCAAGAAATGGAGAGCCTGTTACTTTAAATGCATTGACTCTTTTTACTTCTTGAGGATGTTAGTGTGTCATTTATGGGACTGGTTGAAAAATTAATTCACTTAAGGATGGAATTTGTGATTTTTACTCATGCGTAGTACCTGGCTTTTTGTTTTGAGGGGGCGGGGTGGTGGTGGTTGTGATGTTTGCTTTAACTTATTCACTGTTTAATTCTCTCAAATAGCTGTGTTCAAAGTACAGGGTAGTTTTAGTTCCCCTTTTCCCCATGTTGCTGTTGTGATCTAAGATGATCCAGTTATTGGTGCAACTTCCTAGCTCCAACGTGGAAATAATTTTAGAAGGTTTAGTGGGCCTGTCTTACTTCTGCATAGCTGGGCTCTTTGCATGAAAATACAGCATTTTTCATGCCTCAGAGAACAGTACTTCAGCTTAGCTGGATGACAGAGATTTGTAACTTTAGTCTTTAGCATTTACACACATAAAAAGAATACTAATGGGAGTTTAGATTTTGTTCTTTTAAGTTTTTATATACAGTGCCTTTCTCCAGTACCAAACAGAAGTGTGAAAATTAGCTCCCTAAAATGCACATAGAAACATTCATAAGCTTGTGACAAAGTTGCAAGTAAATTATACTTCCTTGACCCTACCCAGATTATTTCCAGAAAGACTTTTAAGGAATTCTGTAAGTAGGAAATCTATTAGTTGAAAGATTCTGGAGTCAGTGGTGCACATCGACTGTTTGTATTTTATTTGTCTTCACTGGAGACTCAGAGTTGGTCCTTACATTTTCCAAGCTGAAAATTGGAGCAGCCTCCCCATAGGGTACACGCAGTAGTTCATGACCTTGCTTTTGAGAACTCAGACGCTGATAGCACTGAGAAGACAGTTTTCATTCAGATTCAGGTGCTGCAGTGTGGGAAGAGAGAAGGAATATTCAGTCTATTTACTTAATAGAAAAGAAAACATGCATTTTGTGTATTATTTAAATAATCACCAGTCTTATTTTGCATTTGGAGATAGGAGGGATATCTTTTTCTACTTAAAGATGGATACAGACTTCTATAAATGTGAAAGGAGTAGTGTGTTTAGCAGTTATAACAATTTTAAGAGAACTTTTTTTTTTTTTTTTTGCAGTGGTTATCCGAAGCTGTTATGATTAACTACTTTGTTTAAAACAGATAATTTTAATGTTAGTTTGTGGCTACATTTCTTTTGCTGTTGCAGGAATGTTTGCTCTCCTTCGTGGAAAGTTCAAATTGATAGAGAACTAAATGTCATTAACATTAAGTATGTAACTTTTCATTCATTCAGAAAACAATTACTGAGCACCTACTAATTTGGTTCTTGCACTAGGAATCTCTATAATCTATTTTCCACTTGGAAAGTAATCTCATTGGCAAGATTTTGGCCTCCTTGAATATTAGAATGATATCAGAATAAAGAAAGTTCAAAGATAATGCACTCAATGTTTTGCAACAGTCATTTGGGAAAGAAATCTGTACTCTTACTCTTGCATATTATACTGCAGTCAGTACTAGAGTGTATTATTTTAAATAGATATAAACTCGTGTGTTGGCTTATTATCTACTAAATCTAATCTGGGAAATAGGAAAAAGTATTTGTCACCAAAGAGAAAGTGGATCTCATTTGTCTAAAACTTAAATCTTTGTGTCTTTCCTAAAAAATGTCACCTAAAAGGCCATCCTCTTGTCATCGCATATAGATTTCAAGCAAAAAGAGCCCCTTCGTCTAACAAGACTGCTAGTCGTATGTGAGACTACTTAGGCAGATTCTCACCTTGGCTAGGCCAGTCAAAGCTCCACTTTAATTAATAAAAAGGTCAGTTTCATCCTATGTAACAGCAGAGTAACATGAAATAAAATTACATTTTATAACCCCCCCCCCCACATAATGTTCAATTTCAAGTTATCTTTTTGTATCTTAACTGCCATTTCAAAAGGAAAATCGATACAGGAGTTGCTGTGTTGTTACTTATGTTGAAAATATTAGGACCAAATGTATAAACTAGTAATCTGTGGGTCTGTCATAGGCTCAGACTTTTATTTCTAGGGCCTATTTTACTTCTCTTGATTGATCATTCATTGCATTATACCATTTAGGATGCCTTTGTAAAGAGTTTGTTGGAGAATTAAATAGGGAATAGGGGAGTGCAGATTTATTGGTCCTTTCAGAAAGGATATTGATTGACCTTGATAAACTAAAATGAAAGAAAACATAACTTTAGGATTTGAATCATTGTGCTGATAAGCCTTTTAATTTAACACTATGATCTTTTAAAGATGCTGCATTCAATTCAACCATTGTTACCTGAGCCTCTTTCTGCCTGTTAAGTGCTGTCAAGAGGAACAGGAGTCAGTCCTTGCCCTCAGTAGGGGTTTGCAGAGGACAGGCAAGGTCATGGACATCAAGCTGAAGTGATTCTCTGCTTGATACATGAACATCACAGTAGGAATAGATGAACTTTGAAAGTTTTAAGCTCTATAAAGTTTTAGGCTCTGTGGTTTTTCAGATTTATAGAAGTTTCTCTTTGCCTGCTATTCTCCTTTGAGAGAAGGATGGGCTCTGAACGATG